GTGATGAAGCCATGGAGAAGCCCGTCGTCACGGTGACTGACCCACTGACGGACCCTCTCCAGTCCGATGTGAAAACATACAACACGAGCATCTGGAACAAGCCAGCACCAGAACCAGACTGCATTCACTCTAACGTTTATATTTTTAAGGCAAAATTATCCATAATTTCCACATTTCAACGCTGGACCACAAACAGAGTGAAGGACACATGAGAGCTGAGGGCTTCATGTTAAACACCTGCTGAGCTCTACAGGCTTCAACATGGGCTCAGGTCTGTACCAGACGGAGGCAGGCCAGTAGGACGATACATACATCCACCCGGAAACAGGACCATGCAGAAAGAAGAATAAAGCATGACAGTCAGGAATGGGGACTCCTGCTGCTATAGAGAACCTGAAGGGGAACTCATTAAGACAGGTTCATCATTTCCTTGTGGTTGCAATCATGAACACAGCACTGCAGTGCAATATGATCAGATCCACGTCTCATAAATGTCAGCCAGGCTCTCACAGCGAGGTGATCAGTGTCCTGTCGCTGGTGTCAGCAGTGATCGGACCACAAGCAGCTCCACAACCGCAGCATGTGAATCAAAAACCTGAAGGAAAAAAACAAGCATGAAGTTTAGCTCAGAGGAGTTCTCCACCAGATGGCAGGTTTACTTCACCCACGGTTTCCTCCTGACTGCTCAGAGCTTCACACTTTCTTTTACACCATTTTAACTGCTGTCCATTATATTTAGATGCACCGGTGCCAAACCTCAGCGTTGAGATCCCCTCAAGTCAGACAAGTTTCTGCAGAAATCTGCAAATAATCAGAACATTGTAGGATTGTATTTTTGGCATTAACTCCTTTGTACAGCGGGTCCTTTAGTTATATCCTCTCTACTCATGCAGAGTTGGCAGGACATTGTTCAGAAGCTCCGCCGTGGTGGAAAAATTTAATCCCAACTAATGAAAGCGTCAGATAGCTGCTTTCTTCTCTGTGTCAGGTCATGACTGAAGGTAAAGGTGGAGCTTTGTAAACACAGTCACACATCCTGAGTTTCCTCAGAATGCAGGAGTCCAATCAGCAAAAACTCCTGTCAAACATTATTTTAAAGTTTCTACGTCTCGGTTGTAGAACCAGAGTCTGTGGACGTATCTGATGTGTAGGTTTCTGGTGGACACACTCTCCAGCCTCACACCCCATCCTGCAACACACACGTTTCTATGTACTTCTACCGGAGCACAGATCAGCTGGCTGACAGAGCTGCTGAAAGACACACCAGACATCCTTCAAAGTTAAACCAGACGTCAGGAGTACAGGAGCTGCTTGTCCAATGTCGTGTTTGTTTCTAATTCTCACTTTCTGCAGATGCACGAAGCAGCTCCAGAATGTTTATTAGGGAGCCGTGAGTGTCGTTTAAATGGCGTGTAAATCCCATGACTATGACCATTACATGTTAAATCCCACATCAGACAAACAGCCACATAAAGCAGCTCATTCTACAGGTGAGTCATTAAGATGGCTCGCTGTCTGACCAGTCCTACACGCTTCATTAACATCAACATGTACAGCTAATTCCATCTTTTTTCCTTCTGCTGAGACGGCCTGACGCTGAGGCAGAGCTCCTGCTCATCGCTCTCGTCAGGGTTCCTCAGTCCTGCAGATAATATATTGTACATATAAAGAGCAGGTTGTCCAGTAATCCAAGGCTGGTGGTTTGATCCACTTGGACCTGCGTAGCTGCTGCTCAGTATGTGAATGAGAAACACCAGAGCCACTAACCCTGAAGGCTGTCAGTGCACACTGCATAGGTACAGTGTGGAGAAAGCAGGTGTGTGTTTGAAGGTCTCCATCTCCTGACTGAGAGCGACTGTCTGCAGGAACGTGTCCGAGCTCCACTGGAGGCCAGCCGGTACAGGGCACACATGGATATGCTGGCTTTGCTGTTTTTTTCTGTTCTAGTGTTTCCTGAAGTTATCTTATGAGCTCACTGTGTGCCAGCGCTGCCATGTGAGAGGCTGACATGCACATCAGGTGACATAATGTACATGAATGTGATGCTGCAGCAGCTGGACAGAGCTGGCCATGGAGCACGACCTGAACAGGACAAACAGATCATGTTCAGGAGCAGGGCTGCATTTTAAAGCCTCACAGACAGCACAGCATCCTCCATGTGTGCTGTCCTGTCCATGGGCTGGCTGTGGGACGTGCCAGGAGGGACGGTGCTCTGCAATAAGAGGCGGCGGCAGCGCGCTGAGGCGGAACAGCGGCTCCAGTCTGCTCCTCGCTGCTCCTGACCTCCGATCAGCGGACAAGCATGCAGCTGCTGCGGCCGGCTCTGTGACTCAGCCGGACAGAAGCCCACAGGCAGGTTCACCGGTAAGTGCTGCTTTTGGTATTTAACGTGAAACTCAGCTTCCTGCTCATTTGATCACATTTGACTCACTCAGAGATGTAGCAGGAGCTAGCCGTTCATATACTCGGTTTACGTTTGAAATGATTCTTGTAAGCTGAGAAAACACAGAAGATGAAGGTCTGAGGTTTGCCAGGTGATTGCGCAACAGGTGGAGCCTCCGGTGCTGCTGTCCGGCGGCCAGGACGCGCTGTCGGTGCGCGTTACCGAGAACTGCTCCTTTATAGATGGACCGGGATGACTGAGAGACCACTGCGATGGTTGCTCTTCAGAAAACCTTGTCCACCAACAGCTGGTGCCTGTATGTGGTCTGTTGGACCAGAAAGAGCAGCATGTGGAGAAGATCTGGGTTACTCTTAAAATGGCTTCCTTCTCTGCATTCAAGCTGTGAAGTCACATTAAAGTGTGCATCCAGCAGGCAGACTGAGACAACTGGAGCTCTGACAGCCTGCTGCTTGATTGTGGCTCCTTTGGTTCACTTCATGTTCCTCAGATGGTGTCACCAGCTCTGTTGAGTCACAGTTCAGTCCAGAGGTCCATCTGGAGATGGCCTGAAGCTGCCTGGTTGGACATTCTGAATGAACACCTTGTGCACCTTCAGCCCCAGGCAGCTCCTTCTCTGTTTCACTGAGGATGGATGCTGCTGCTCTGGTGTCTCCTGGGATTCAGTCTCCTGCATCCCATCGTAGCTGTGTGAGTTTAAAGCCTTGTTTTTGGGCTCTGAAGACCTGAGCTCACAGCAGCCGAGCGTGAGCTGCAGGCGGAGAGCTGGGCAGGCGGGGGGCACGTCTGAGCAGCTGGATTCTTCATGTCTGGCTACGAGGCCGACTCACCAGTTATCAGATCTGTGCAGTAACAGCAGCACCAGGCTGGTCCCTGTATGTGTGCACACATATAAAACAAAGGTAGAAATAGTCCACGTGCTGCTTTAACATTATTCCACTTTCACACAATTACAGCAGGTGAAAAAACAAACACAGGATTGATACGAACAACGTGTTCTGGTGGCTTTATCTGATTTATATGATAACCAGTGGATGGTTTAGGGTTAAAAACACATTCTGTTGGTTCACAGAGTATATAAATGGTGAATAAATCCCTGCTACTGTGGTACTGGCTGTAAATACTTCATGCAGCGGGCCTCGAGAGAGCGGCTGTCAAAGGACCAGAACCAGAACCCTGTGACCCTCCTTTCCTTTTAACATGAATGCACAAATAACGATGATGAAGTCAGGCGGCTCCATATGAACATGTGGAGAGATTTTCTTTTCAATATGTTTCTGAGAACAAATCATAAACGACCTGACGAGTCGCAGCAGTTAAAGCTAAAAACAACTGCAGCTAATTTATTCTTGTTTTGTTTTTGTTTTTGGCAAAATACTGAATAGCTTTAGCGTATTTATTGTGATTGTGAAAACCCTTTAGTTTAAATAATCACAGACACACACATTAGACTGATATGAAGTGCTCTCCAGAGTTAAGGGGCCGTGGAGCAGCCCGAGGATCGGACCAGCACCACGGAGCCAGTCGGCCCGCTCATGTTAAAGTTAAATCAAACATCTGTCATAGTGGCCTGTGGCTGTCTCTCTACAGCCTTTATCTGGTATCTTGATGATATGTTTGTGGTGAAACTGGAATACATGCAGTCTCCATGTTCCTAAATAAAAACCATAACCTGAGGACTTCTTCCTCGGAGTCTTCGGGCGTGTTCGAACAGAACTGGACCTGCTCAGTTAAGATGAAGAAGAAAAATTCACACTTTTCGGTAAATTCTGGGTCTGGAGTACTGCACCGAGTCTGATTGAGTTTTCATGGTAACAAGACAAAAGCTGCATCAGTCTTGAGCACAAAGCCCTCTGAGGTGCTGAAGGGTTAGTGTTTACTAGGGTTTACTAGGGTTTACTAGGGGTTAGGGTTAACTAACCCTCAACCAGAGAAGAGGGCGGCTGGCTGTATGGATCCTGTGGTATGCAGACATGTGAGGGTTAAAGGTGCAGAGAAGCTCAGCAGCAGAGCACTTATCTCCTCTAATGACCTCCCAGATAAAAGTCAATTACTTCTGCGTCATGATCAGAGAGGAACGGACCACAGGGGGCTGTTTGAGCTCCACTGCTTCTCATTACAACCACTTGGCTGGTGTTTGTTGGACGAGTGGACTGACTTCAGGGACACAGTTCAGGCATTTCTCATTTTTATATTTGACACAATTATTAAGATTTCTAAAAATGTAAACTCTGCTTTCTTTGGCTGTACTGCATTGTGATGATTGTTCCACATGCAGGCCCGTGTACAGGATCAGTGCTCGTTAAGCAGAACTGGCTCTGCTGTGATGAAGCAAGAAAGTCGTCCACCGTCTGTAAATGAATTTACAATTTCATGCATTCCTCCTTGTTTTCTTTTCAAATCCCCAAAGACTTGAGAGACACCAGGTTCTCCCAAAGGACCTCTTTTCTTCAGTGCACTATTTCAGCATTGTTCCACTTATTTTTGATTTTCCATCTTTTTTTTGTTGTTGTTGAAACTTTTCATTTATAATATTTTTAAGGAACATTTTCAGAACAGGGAAACCATATTTACATCATCAGCAAAAATAATAATGACAACAAAAATGAGGACTAAATAATTAAGGTAAAATTAGAGAAAAAAATAACAGAAAATAAACAAAATAATAACAATAATAATAATAATAATAGAATTGAACTGCAGGTCTGTGCATCACAATGACAGGGTATCTTTACATGTATTGCAGGCATGTCTGTTTGTTTCAGTGGCTAAAAACATGCACCATCTTCTCCATCGTGTTTCCTCTTGGTCCTTTTGGAGTCCTGTAGAATTTGCTGTAGGGGATGCAGCTGCTGAACAGTGTTAACCAACAGGTCCGTGGGAGGCCAGTCCCTCTGGAGCCAGAGCTTTGTCATGGTTTTTTACTCGCTGCCAGCAAAATGTTGAAGACGTAAGCATCATTCGCACTCATACCATCAGGAATAATCCCGAGATAAAGAGTCGTAAATGTCACGCACATGTTGAAACCCAGGACCTTTTTCCATCTTTTGAACTGGTGGAGCGATCTCTGAAACAGCCTGGTGTGTTGGCGTACAAGTCAGCTGCATTCTGAATTACATTCTGAGGAAAGTTTATTTTCGTCAGGACTGCATTTGTGTATGAGGCCTTACTGTCAACCAATCACAGATGAGATGGTTGTAAGTCATCATCCTAGTAACCCAGAAGAAGGCATAGTTCTGACCCAACTATGATATTTCCTTAAACCTAACCGAGTCACTTTGCTGTCTAATCCTCACCAAACAGCAAGCAAACGTAAAACCACATGATGTGAAGCGGTCCAACACAGGATGCAAACTAGAGTCTGCCTCCATGTGCATCATTTCCTCAAATTAAATGTTCACAATGTTTAGACCCCAAATTCAGACCAACATCTCTGGAAAACTCTGGGATCTGATACCAGGCAGAGGTGTGGGTTTGAGCAGCACAGGTCGGTATTAATGAGTCCACCAAGGTTAACGAGGCGTCCTCAACCAAAGACATGCATGAAATCTGCTCAGTAAAATGCTCTTTACCTTTTCAACTCATACAGCCATCATCATTCATTTTGGATGAGTGGAAGAAAACCCAAACAGGGTTTATTCACATTATGAGGACACGTTAGTTTAAATGAAAAACACAGTGGCTGAAGTGATTAACTGAAAAATGATCAAATCACAGAAACAAATCCTCTAAATTCAAGATGTACCAAAAATACCTGAAAATAAAAACGCTGTGCAGCATAATGACACATGCAGCGTTATTTTAGCAGCTGTCATGTTCTCACTGCTCTCATACGCAGCATGAGGATGGTGGTGGTGAGTTAAACTACCAACCTAACAACGTCTCATGTTTCTGCTCATTAACTGTTTTATTTGAAAAGACATAAATGTATGGAAGTGTAAAGTCCAGGAGTCGTGGATCACTGGAATACGTTAGTTTAAATATAAGTACAGATAAATGAACGTGTGCCGCCTGTGGTAGTCTCCACACCTACCAGATGAAGCATGTCATGAAGTTTAGAGTACAAACAAATCATTTTCTCTGAAACTCAAGTCCGTAGACGTCCTGTGTGAGTGTGCAGCAGGAGGTGAGCACACCGTCCTGACATCTGAGACGAAGACATGATGAGGTGAGGAGTGGCTTCTAGACTTGTTCCGCCTGAGAACGGGACTCGGAGCTGCTGTGGCTTGTGTCCGTCAGCATCTGCCTCAGACAAAGGAACATTGTTGTCTATTGTTGTTCCTGCCTATCAGACCTGATTTAACAGGTATTTCTCTGGTTGAATGCTGTCATTCTGTTTCTAGCCGCAGGCATGTGGTGAGGAACAGGAACACCCACAAACCTGCGTTAATAAAGGCTGCTGCTTTATATTCACGGCTGACACATTTATGGCACACAGACACTCGTATTTCTCCTGTAAACTGTATTCGTATACTTGTGAGGACTGTCAGCAGTCGTGACATTGACCTATCATATACTATTATTACCAGTGTGAGGGTCAAAGCAGCATCATTTATCTAATGTAGTATTATAGATAAATACTGGAGAAGACTGGACGAGCTCAAAGTGGTTCTGACTGTCATGCAGCTCATTGGGTTTTGCGGTCCGTAACCATTTAAACTACGCTCACAGTTTCCATAATAACCATTCTGGAGCTGCTTTGTGCATCAGCAGAAAGGGAGAACTAGAAAAACAAGAAGCTATTAGTGGCGTCTGGTTTTAACTTTCAAAGACTTCTGTAGTTACTATATATTACCTGAACAGCAGAAATCAGTGAAGCAGTGGATGTGTTGTCTGGTAGGAGTGTGTGTTGCAGTGTGAGGTGGTGGGTGTGTACACCAGCCATGTACTGATCACATATGTCTTTATAAACTTTATAGACTTTATAAAATGTGTGCATTTGTGCACAGTGAGGTGAGAAGGAGGAGAGACGTGACCCACTTCCTGTAAACTTGCATTTTAAAGGCATCATTGTAAAAGTGTTCTCTGAATTCCTGCTGAACCCCACACGTGGTTCCTTTAAGAAATGCTGGCGCTATGCTATGTGTCTGTACGGATCCCTGTGACCAGACCTGCTGGTTACTGTAGCTGTGGATGTGAATGCATTTACTTCAGAGAGCTTCATAAACAAATCAGTGTACCTCAGCCAGCACATTCTAATCCGCTGATGTTTTCTGTCTCAATCAGAAGCTCTGCTGGACTTACAGTAGCAGCCATGGGCAGCAAGACTTTGCCAGCACCAGTCCCTCTCCATCCATTCCTTCAGCTGGCCAACTGTTCCCTTATCCAGGGCTCCTCAGGTCTCCAGCTGCCAGCAGATCATTTTCACAGCATCTACAGCTTCAGTGCAATGCACGCCATCCACCTCCATCAGTGGACCCTTGGCCTCCCGCCTTTGGCCCTGCCCCGCTGCACCATCTCCAAGCTGCCTCCCCAGTTCTCCTCCATGGCCTCCATCCCCATATTCCCTTACCTTCTGCAGCCAAAGCAGGACTGCACAGGGCTGCTGCAAAGCTCCAAGAACAAGCCCCGTTTTGACTTTGCCAACCTGGCAGCAGCAGCCACGCAGGAGGACCACCTGAAGGTGGCAGACCTGAGTGTGACAGGTGCTGCTTCTGCTGCAACCCAGACTTCATCTCAACACCCGCCCTCAGCCAGCCTGGGCTGCCTGCTAGACGTCACCAAACTGTCTTCCCCTGAGCGCAAATCCAGCCGAGGCAGACTGCCCTCCAAGACCAAGAAAGAATTTGTCTGCAAGTTCTGTGGTCGGCATTTCACCAAATCCTACAACCTTTTGATCCATGAGAGGACGCACACAGATGAGAGGCCGTACACATGTGACATCTGCCACAAGGCCTTCAGAAGGCAGGACCATCTCAGGGACCACAGGTGAGAGCCCTCTTTAGAGAACAGCAAATCAATGCAACACCAAATTTGTAAAATTAACTGAGTCTCAACAATCTCTACTGTGAAGTTTTCATGCAAGTTGTGTGTACATTGTAAGCTAGTTCCCACAGTTTCCATTCATAATCTTTCTCTCCCCGACTACTGTGTCAACAACATCTCCTAAACGTAGGCGTTGGCCGGCTCGATGTCATGTCAGTAGACTTCAGTCTTCTGTCTGTGTCTGCACAGCACTGAGTGTAGGGCTAGGGTTAGCCCTGGGTTAGGGTTAGGCTAAACTCTGGGTTAGGGTTAACTCTAGTCATCCTGGGTTAGGATTAACTGTAGTCATCCTGGG